GTGTGTGTGTGCGCGTACGGGTTTTTCCTACAACATGGGGTATTTTTTACAAAAAACAAGCAGCCAGGTGGGGACCGAAGTGAATTGTGGGGACCACTGTCAGGTCCCCACAGGTCCAAATGCATGTTACAGGTGTGGGGTTAGGTTTAGGACCAAGTTTTAGGTTAGTTTTAGGGTCAGGTAAGTTTCTGTGAGGTTAATTTYAGAGTATATGGTCAGGGTTAGGCTATAAAGTCTAAAAAACATGAATGGAAGTCAATGGAAGGTCCCCACGGGGTTGAGAAACAAACGTGTGTGTGTGTGAGCTGTCGGATTGTGTGTGTTGTCAAGACTGACGGATGGTTGCAGCTCAAGGGGTTCCCATTACCCACAATGCAATCTGCTAAAAAGAATGTGTTGAGTAAGGCTGCAAGGACAAGGCACTCTATGGGAGGATAGTGGCATTTTATGGTAGCTGCACACCAGATTCAAACTAAGAGAAAATACAGACATTTGAAATGTTTGTAGCACAGTGCTAAGAATCCATTTTTAAAATTGCATTTATCCCAAATGAAATACATCCTATAGGTTCCAAGTAAAAATGAAAGGTATGAGTTACTATAAAACAAAAGTGTAAAAGCTGCAGTACACCAGACTAGATTCATAAAATCAAACTCTAAAGATCACAGAGGATGCAATGTGTGAGTGTCTGAAATTTTCACTCTACAAAAGTAGTCAAAATTAGATTGGATTAGCACATGTACAAAAACATAACACATTCAGCAGAAAAAACTACTTTCCCAGTGTTTGTTGAGTGGGTGAGTGCTTAAAATTTTTTTGAAATTGTTGAGAAAAAAATTACTGCAGGCTCTGTGCAAACAGATGATTGATGCCATTTGGAAAACAAACAAACAAACAAAAAACCACATCTTGTCAAACATGTACTGCATGTTCTCTGCAGTGTGACCAGCGAGATGAAGGGTCTTTAATCAAACATCCTAAAGTTCCAAGATGCTTGTCGTGTGCAAACTGGAGTAAAGAGCTAAAAAAGCAGGCAGACACAATATTCTCCAAACTAAACAGTCTGGTGGCTGCGTGTTCAGCATCAATGATGAACATGTGAGCATGCTACATAAGGAAAATAAAACAGTTAACTGTGAGTTACCACCTGTGAAAAATATCATTTTGATAGAAATTATATTTATCAATGTGTCGTATTTTACTGACCAAAAAAGACACTATTTTTGCACCTGGCATGGCTGTGATTCTTGCAGCACAGAATACTTGATCATGTCACCTGCATCAGCTCCAACTGCAGACAAATGAAAACTGGACACTTGGTGAATTACAACCCGATGCTAATTTACCTTACTTGATAAACCTTCTCTTCTTGTTTTGCTAATTGATTTGGATTTTGTCAAAGGAGTCCTGACTGTCCGCTCTCAACTGTGGAATAAATTGGTTTGAAAATGATTTGCAGTCAAGCTGAATATTTTCGTTTATGTGCAGAAAAGACTGGAAAAGGGAGAACCTCTGTCAGGCCTCAGAGTACTGACAAGCTTCACCTGGGGTACTTTACTCGGGGCAGACAGGGGTAATGCGATTTCATCCGAGGTATGACAGCTAAGACAAGACTGGCGCTCGAGGGAAACAACAGGATATTGCTGATAAAGGATTAGATGCAATTCAAAGGGAAGTTGCTTGACAGCTTTTCAATGCTTGGGCCACAGAATAAAAACATAAGAAAAGATGCAGCAGAACAGAAAACACAATATTAATGTTCTGACAGTACCACTTTACAAGACTTAGCATAAATGTTGTCTTTTTTAAAAAAGAAAATGCTTTGTTCTATTCAGTCAATGACAAAATGTGTTGAAGTACTAATAAGACATTGTTACTCAGACAATAACAAAAAAAAAGCTCACTATTTTTCTGTTATTGGCCTGTGTTTTTATCTGTCCTTCTCCCTATAATGAGCCTTGCTGATGGGTTCCCCACTGGACAGGTGAGCTTGGTACCTCCAGGCTTATTATGGGCAGACAGGTAGTCAGAAAGTGACCAGGGCAGCTCAGTCTGATCTCATGTCAAGGTAACTGCAGGAGCCACTAATGAGACTTTGTCATCAGTTACTGTTCACTCAGCTTTTTGTGAACATTTCTAGAATAGATGGTCAGCCTTTGCACTTTGAAAGGTCTTCATTCTGCATTTAAAGTCCTAAACTGAAAATGTTGTGGCCATTATATTTATAAATACATAAAGTGAATGCCAATGTCTGCTCAACGGACATATTTTAATATTTAAAATGGGCACTCAGGGTTTTTTTTTTTCATTTAGTATTTTTTGTTTTCATTTCAAAAACTAAAACTCTTTCTGCTTCTGTTTATGGAATGGATGGAATGCTCACTCCGGGTCGTGGATGGGGGTCTCAAGTGGAGGAGTTTCATCTGTTTTGTTCCTGAGTGATGGTAAGATGGAGGGGGATGGATCAATGGACAGGGGTCTCATCCTCAGTAATGAGGGCGTTGCTTCTGTTGATCGGGGTAAAGAAAGTGCTGAGTCGAATGGCAAAGTTCTCAGTTTACTGGTCTGTTTACATTCCAACACTTACCTATGGTCATGAGGCATGAATCATGACCAAAACGACGAGATATTGGATACAAGTGGCCGAAATGAGCTTGCTTCGTAGGGTGACTGGCCGGGCTCAGCCTTAGAGATCGGATGAGGAGCTCCATCATATGAACAGGAGGGGGAGACAGAGTACAGCTTCTGCTCCTCCACATCAAAAGGAGTCAGTTGAGGGCATTTGATCATGACGCCTCTTGGACGCCTTCAGAGGTGTTCCGTGCATGTCCCACTGCAGGAGGCCCCAGGGAAGACTAAAGGATCTCTGGAGGGATTATGTATATTCGGTGGGAACGCCTTGGGGTCCTCGCTGAAAAGTGCCACCTGGGAGAATCTGGGTTTCTCTCCTAGACATGTTGCCTCTGTGACTTGACAACAGATACGCGGCAGAGGTTGGAAACGGAGACTCTGTTTATCACAATGGGTTATTGAGTAAATTACAGTTTTGTAATACACAAAGTAATCAAGGGTTTGCTGTGGAATCATTCATTTTTCAAGATCTAAATCACATTGATGAATTTGAAACATTGATCTCGATCAAAGTTGAATTTCTGTTTTTTTGTTTAGATGCTTAGGGAATGGACTGCAGTAATTCAAGTGATTTCAACTTACAGTTTGATGCATGGACTAATTACTAATTACTGTGTAATTATGAGGCCGTCTCAAATTGAAAAACCTTGATGTGAATAGATTTTGGTGAAAAGTTTGATAGTAACAGAGTGTTAGACAGAAAGAGAGGTTTGAGGCCAGTTTGACCAAGGGAACATGGGGACAAGAACAACCACCCTGCAGTGTGGCCTTTACAGTACACCTAAGTAAAAACTAGGAGTATAGCATGACATAGAGTTAACTCACTGACAAAAACACACTCATACAGATGGAAGCAAAATCTGATTAGTGGAACTCAAACAAACAAATAAATGTGGTTGAGTAGTGGGAGAGAACGATAATCTGTTTGACTACAATGATTACATCAAGAAAGGTAAAAATCAGCAGAAATTGTTTTGATGTTGGTTCTTTAATAGCTTCATAATAAAATGAAATACTGAAAAAAATTATAAAAAAAGGTTAGTTTCTTTAAGAATGTTAGAGCCCAGCTTTCTGCATTTTGTCCATTGGTGGGCACCAGCCTGCTAAAGTGCGAATCCGCTAATTGCGGACCTAAATATTTCATTTATGCTTTAACGTTCTTACTAATTTTTATAATTCATACGCGGATTTGCGCTTTCTAAAATTAAAATGCAGTCCCGCTAGTAACTAATTATCAACCAGTCATCATTATCTTGAACAGCAGAAGGTATGGCTGTCAATGAATCACAACGCACATGATCAGCACCCCTCCAAATAAACACATTTATTGGGAAGGTATACATCCTTGCTGACTGTTGTTTTCAGTCACGGTTCTCATTTTACAGACATTTCCCACAATGCTTTGCGTCTGCTTACGTAGCAGGAATGCAATGGTTAGAACTATGTGACCAGGTGAAAACAGTTAAAGTTTGTAATCCATACTAAATTTTGTATGTATTGATTTATTTTACTTTACAATCAGAGCTCCTTTTAAAAAAAAATTAAGTTTAAACGCTGGAGCTCAATACTTGATGTAAATGATCGACGTAATTGGCCATTGGGGTAAGCTGAAGGGACGCAGAAATGATTTAAAGACGTTATGCTGATAAAGACAGACATCTAGTGGTCAACTGGAGCAACAACAAAAGTGTGGAAAACTTTAAAATCCAAGCTCTTATTTTGAAGTGAAAGACAATTTCCTGTATGGAGTGTTTTCGTTTCCTGACACAAATCAAATCCGTCATGTACCCAGAATGCATTGCTTCAGTTTTCCAATAAACAGTTTTAAAATTACTTTACTGATGCTTCTTTAATGAAAAATCTACAAGAAACAGAAGAAAAAGACAAAGAAGCAGCCGAATTAGCAATCCTCAACAACTTTTTAATTTTTATCCCAGGAGCCAAAGGTCTCTTTCATGAAATCACATCCCCAGCAATCCGGTTGTAGGATTAAGCTGTAAATGAGTTTATACACCCCCAGTTGGCAGTATCATGCGTATATTGTACATGAATTATTTCCAGCTAATGAGTGTCAAATTGAATTGCGCTTGAAAATTACCTTCCGCTCGTTTGTCTATGGCATAAGCGCTTTTGAAGTTGCAGATCTAAATATTGAAATTGCAGAGCTAATTTTTGGATTAGCGCTGCCCACCACTGTGAGTATCAATAATAATGCATTGAAAGAAAGCAATTCAGCGGTAAGAAGACACAAAGATAAAGTCACTTCCATTTGGTTGGATAGATTAAGGTTTAAAAAAGTTCTTCAGACTGTCTCCCCACATTAGCTCCTATATCAATGAGGTGGCCAGAAAGTAAAACCAATTTCCTACCTGTTCGATCTCGAATGGCGAGGTTTTTCCCTTTCTTAAGAACAATATCCAACTGGTACATGGCTGGACATGGAGGCTGAGGCTGGGACTCAGCATTACTAGACGCCACAATGCTGATGCCCTGTGAATTAGAAATTCAAACGGTTACACAAATTTAAGCCAATCAGTATTTTATTAATTATTAAGCCATTTATTCAATAACAGAGAAAGAAAAAAGGGCATTTTTGCTCTTTGTTAGTTGGTGTCTAAAATGTTAAAGATGCATTTGCTGCTAAAAACAATACATTGATTAAAGCAGAATATACATGTTAAAGTTGATGTTTGTAGATTATCAAAAGGGAAAAAATTGTATAGGTCCTCTGGACGAGTTCTTCTTTAATGAAATGTTTCATCTCTTCTCCAAGAGACTTCTTCAGTCTGAGAGTTTCAGGCAAAATTCAAGCTTTTAAGCCCTGCCTCTATGTGACTGATACTCACATCACATGCTATCGTTCACACCTAATTAATACCTATTGTTAACAGGGGGTGGAGTGATACTGCCAATGGTAGCGCTGTAGGAGGGGGACAACTGAAAACGGAGGCCTCCACCTCTGTTTAATGATGGACGGTCTTTCTTCACAAAAATGGCTTCTTTTACTTCTCTCTCAAACCAACGTTCCTCYCTATCAAGAATGAGAACATCCTCATACTATACAATGTTTTTCCTTTTGATTTTTTACCTGGATTACTGAGATGCATCAGGACATTTTGTAGATTATGTTTTGTTAAGCAAACTATTAAAAAATACTGAATACAGGCTACTTCTGCTGGAAAGCTCTAAGCATGCAGACACTTGGTCAGTTCTATCTCTTTGGATTTGCATGTCATGTCATGCTGTAGCCTGGAGGTCAGAGCTGTACTTCACTCCAGTGTCCCCTCAAGGTCTCTAACTGTGCAGCTCATTTGCAAGCCACAAGATAAACCAAGCTATGCTCTGGTATTCACAGCTGTCTTAGTCTTTGGCACATTTTCCTTCCTTCATGCTCATTCATCTCTTCTCTCCATTAGCACGAACAACTGTGTTGTGTTTCACCAGCGGCTCAAAGATGAAGCTAATAATAACTACAAAATATCCTCAAAACCTAAAAGGCCATCAGCAATCGGCTAAGAAACTACTAATTAAAAAAATGACACACAGAGATACATTAGCATGTGAAACAGAGCAAGAATGTGAAATAGTAAAACAAGATGCTCAACCTATTCATCAAATGCATTGTTCCTAATGAGGCTGTCATGATGTTTCTTATAGGTTTTGACAGCTCAGTTTCCCTCCAGAGCAATGCTGGGCTGCTTTCAAACAAAAACTGCACAAAGCAAAAGGCCTTTTTATGTACTTCATGGAAATTTCTGTTGAGTCATGAAAAATGAAAGCTTCAGTGTCTCTCTGTGTAGGAAAGGTCAGAAACGACTAAAGTATCATTCAGACTTTATAAGAAATGGTTCACATGAAGAAGCTGCATTCTTTCAATCTCAGTGAGACGAGACATAGGAGTCCATTGGAGTACAAATTCATGCAAATTAGAGCTCTGTAATAACCATAGTGACTGTATGATTTAGTAAAAGAAGTTAAACTGTGTCAGCATCCATCCGTATTGTGAAATTTGCGAGAGAGAGGGCGGCATGATGGTTTAACCGGTTTGTCCAGAACAAATTTTTAACAATGACTACTGTATACTCAAAAAATGTATATTGTTGTTTACTTTTTTTAACTAATGCTGAGAGAGAGAAAAAATAAGGTAACAAGTGCATTAGCTCTACTTATACCTGGAAAAATCAAATTCACAAAAACAAATAATATTCAGACTTAACATTAAGCCACGATGGCTAAATAAAGTCAAGAGAAACACTGACCAACATACAATATCTGAGTCTTGTCATTAAATAAAAATAATGAGTAATGAACACTTTTTGTGTTCACAGTAAACACTCAATATTTGCTTTACCATGTTTCAATTTCCTAATCAACTCTTAAAACCACAAATACAAAACATATGTGTGCATTTGGAAACTGATAAGTGTACAGCTCATGCACAAGATGGCTGTAACATGCAGGTGCAAAGCCAGATCCGTGATTTATTCACTAAATCAAGCAAACAGATTCCAAGGTTCAAATGTTTAATTTATGGTAAAAAGAAATAAAGCTCTAAAAAAACAACTTTTATACAACACAGACTGATGCAGAAGGAGAGACAGAAATGCACAGATTTGGGTTCTTGAACTGGACATTTTGCTTGGTTGATCCTTTGGGACACACCAGGAGGAGGAAATCCACCTTTGTGAATACTGATGCCACAGCTGAGAAAGACATAAAGCAAACACCCATACAACATTTACACAAACATAAAGGCTCTGCATTTTATGAAACTTTGACAGAGATTTAAAACCATAACTAAATATCCCAAATATATTTTTTTGCAGGCTCTCTGTTATAGTTGGTTCATAAAAAAATCAAGGTTATTAGATTATATTAATTTTTCTCCCCAATAAAAGTCATTCATAACACTGTGTATACAGTGTTTTATGTAATTTAAATTGTTTATGTTACTTAAATAAGCTTTATTTTGGTTTAATCTTAATTTAATACGATTCCTTGTGCATGCGTACAAGAGTGTGCACATGTCTGCATCAAAAACATCCAGCATTGTTTTCCTGTTTTGCTTTGTAGTTTAGAATTTTCCCTGGCATAAATTCAGCTGCAGCACATTTATCAATTTAAATATAGTGCGCTGAAACTCTACAAAGTGTTTTAAGTATCTGGATAAAAGCCTTCAAACTGAATCCTAATCGACTGCTTTGAAATATCAATGAATATCGGTGTCATTTTCAATTACCTGAGTAGCGTTTTTAAAGAAATGAGTTCGGCCGAACATTGTTGTGCAGGCATTGATTCCAACGTTATATGATCTCCAGAGGGTTTCAACCATCTGGCTGGCTTGCACAACAGCCAGACACTCCTAACAAACATTAAGTGGAATATATGCTGCTTCGAGTCGATGAGGCAGAGAAGAAAAGCGTTAGAAGAAGATTATAAGGTTGTAACGCAGTGAGTCTTAGCTGAGCTCTGAGACACTTTAAAAAGCTCCACAAACCATTTAGTCCAACAGCCTCATTTTTATTGACTTCACTGCACTTTAATTATGTTATCCTGTTTAAAAGAAGCCCCAAAGGTCCACACACATAATGCCACAGCTTGATCTACTGAAATACTACTTATACCACTAATGAAGTTTGAGATCGATGGTGCTATGTCTTACTGATAAGATTCAAACAATCCAGCAGATTATATCACTTTAATCTGCTTCATTGTGTTAGCTTGACTGTTTTTGTAATAAATTGTTAAAAATCAACAACCTGTTTCCATTATATAGTTGCTTTGGCAATGTATTTTTATTCAAACACAGAATGAAGCTGAAAATATTATATTTTAGTCTTTAAATAAAAAAACACACCAGAAGATCAGATATTGTAGCAGAAAGCATAAGATCAGTTTGCTTATCTGGTAGTTCATGTTGTTCCATTTGTTACGGACACTCAGAATGAAGAAACACAAGCGAATTCCTTCTCGCTGCTCGGGGATCCTCTTATGTCTCACCAATTTTCACCTGCTGACAAGGAGCCTCCCCAGACTCTCGTAGACTATGGCCAGGTCAGCCAGACAGCTCTTTTTAAAATAAGCTGCCGTGCAAAGATTGCCAGTAGTGTGCAGATGGTATCTGGTCTGGAACAATAGCGTACATCTGCACCCCTTCCAGACGGACGAAAAAGACGACAAGCACTGATTTGTCACCCTTTTCTATCCCTATAGGTACCATTTTATCTGGGATTTGGTTCCAGCTGTCTAAAAGGAAGCAGGTATTCAACATAAGAATTGTCAGTAATTATTAACTGTCACTTGACAAAAGTGAATATGCGGGCATTTCAAAAGTGTCCATTTCGGATTTAGAAACAACTTATATGTAACAAAACTCTCTCTTTTCAGAAACCATCCAGTCACTTTTTCTTTTTAGACCATTTCTGACAGTGATGTTCTTTCATGGAAGAGGAAGCCTGTAGATAGCCCTGGGCACCGTATGGAGCTCCATTCTCATTTCTCACACTGATGGCAGCTAATTTTCGGGTTCCGTGCTTTCATTTCTGCATAACATGAATCTGCTCTCCGGCTCTCTCATTAACTTGAACATTAGCAGCTCTCCTTCTGTGGGTAGGCATGCCACTTCCTTTATTTACTATTATGCCTTTCTATAATGAATAAACAATTCAGTTCTTCCAATTAAATATATGCAGGGTTAGCACTATTACCTCACAGCACAACAACCTTTCTGTGTATTAACAAGAAGTAGGCTTATTAGTGAATGATTGAGAATAAGTGGTTCTGAAAATACGGAGTGCAAAAAGCATTTTGTATTGCTCAGATAAGGTTTAAAAAGGCTATATGTAGTTTTTTATTATTATTATTTACGGACCAAGCTGCTCCAAGCATGTCCAATGGGGTCTTCATTGCGGTTTGGTCACAATACAGTTGTACAATAAATTTCTTTTACGCTGAATATTCTACCTTTTGAGCCATTTTCCATGCAGCTCATTTTAAGGGCAGAGTCGTTTCTACTGCTTCCCACTTCTTTACTGTGCAGATACAAACCCCGGAAGAGAATCCACATCATCCAGCCTGACTCTTAACAACAGTACACACAGCAAATTGAGCTCAGACTAGAGTTTTAATCTCAAATAATGCTAATGATTCATCCCTTAGAATTGATTTCGCTGTGGGACATGAGCTGGTTTACGTCAATAAACTGTAAGGCAAATAGAAATGCTGTGTAACTTTACAGACCATCAAACCATTCATACACCAGTCACACTTGTAGTTATTTAGTCATGTATTGGTTCCATAAACTTTGGGTGGTTTTGTCTTCTGTGTTTTTCATTCACTTGAAAATGTTTGTTGCTTTTATTAAATAACTAGAAGTTAAGCTGTTATTTGTACATTCAGTGACAGAGAAGAATATTCTATGGCTTGATAAAATTAAAAAAGATAACTGATAGTTGTATAATAATAACCTTAAAATGAAATGTCTTAAGTTG